AGTTTCAGTGCTTTTCGGCAATTTGTTGATTACGCTAGCATTGGTTCAACAAGAATAATAATTACGCTGTCTGACTCCACTTTCAGCTATCACTTACACCATTTTAGGTCTGCTCTATCCCAAGTGTGGAGTTGTAAAGACAGGTAGTAAACGTCACATCTTTACAGAAGTTATTAACAAAATGGTAAACGTCACACAATACCCGCAGACGAATATATGGATACATTTAAAAAGAAAATGCATAACAACGGATAAATGCTTTCATTTCAGAATAAATTCTGAGGTACTCAGTAAATTACATGCTTTCAGGTCAGTATATGAGAAGTGGCATAGTGGCGCGGAAGCAACTTTTGAATGTCGTTGTTGCTACTGGTTTCTTTTTTGGAATTTCTTTCCACAAAGCAAGAACCAATGTAGTCATGCAGGAAGCAAACAGCAGCTTGTTTTAGCTAATTGTTTCTACCTTCAATTCACGCAAAACTTGAAATATTCCTGCTTTCCCGTTGCAAACACGGAGAAATACACAAGCTTTAAAATATAAGGACAATGTTGAGGCCTGCCTATAGCAGTCTTGCCACGCTCCCATAAAAGTTTCTTTGCTTTCCGATCATGTCGCCATAACATTCTAAAAATGCAGATAAAATACCATGCATCGAAACACTTCAAGTCGTACTCTTTTTGAATGTAGGACAGATCACTAGATGCAAATCAACAACAAAACATTGCAATGCCTATGCTTACTGCCTCAATGCTTTATCGTCATTGCATGGAGTGCACGATAAAAAATGCTTTCTATCTGTTTTTAAGAGAGTAACTACTGTTTTATTTATTTCAGGCTTCATCTCCCCACTTTGGAACATCGGTAAGGGTGTCTATCCACGACTGCCGGGGCGAGTCATGCATTACATGTACTGATTCGTTTGACGGACAAAAATGAAATTCAAATATTTGGCCCGTGTGAAATTCAGCTCGTATTTTGAGGCCGTATTTAAGAATAAACATGACAGAGCGTTAAAAAATAGAAATCACGCAAAAAATGCTTGCCTACTGACTTTGCTCCTATCCCACATGCTGACATACACTTTTGCGCTAGAACACACTATTATAGCTTTCTAATCATCAAGTTGTTTAAAATGGTATGCGTTATTTTAACTGTATAGTTGTTTGCCCAGAATAAGAATGCGTCACAAGCTTCCAGCCTTTGCGTAAATGTAATGTGCTGACGCCTACCTATATATCACATAATGAAAAAATAGAGAAGGCTTAGCTAACAAAAACAATTACTGCCATTTTAAAGTAACATGATTGGAAGCACTCACAGCATATTTGTTTTTGTTCGTATCGCAACGGGGCAAGGTGCTCACCTACAATCTTAGCATGCATGTCAGAGCAACATAATAAAAGCAGAACACGTTCCTTGGACCAGCCAGGGTTTGCGGCCTTTGCTTCGTATCCCACTACTTTGCTTAATGTCCAAAATTTTGTGTTGACGAGTAATCTTAAAGGAATTTGAAATATGTATATAAACAAAGCATTGACAAGAGACATTGAAGTTTGCCAATAGAAACAACACATAACACTAAGTCAAGGGGCATTAGGTTAAGGACAAAATAAGCTTGAAGAGTGACCTAGTTGTCTGAAAAATAATACCCGAATGCGCGACTTAGACACATGAAGACGAATAAACATCAAAAGTTTCAGAAAGTTGCCTTTGAAAGCAATGTGCATTGCGCAGAAAGGTGCATACTGACTTGACGTATTTGAATGTGTGAGTTATTTTATGATATAGAAGTGCGAATAAATGCATGAAAATTCAGGAAGGTAATGCAACGCAAAATAGAAGGGTAAGTTGAACAGAATTTCTGTTGCCTACACTTAAACCAAGGAACAAAGATTAGATTGTCCCGCCGCGGTGGTCTATTGGCTAAGGTACTCGGCTGCTGACCCGCACGGCGCGGGTTCAGATCCCGGCTGCGGCGGCTGCATTTCCGATGGAGGCGAAAATGTTGTAGGCCCGTGTGCTCAGATTTGGGTGCACGTTAAAGAACCCCAGGTGGTCTAAATTTCCAGAGCCCTCCACTACGGCGTCTCTCATAATCATATAGTGGTTTAGGGACGTTAAACCCCACACATCAATCAATCAATCAATCAATCAATCAATCAAGATTAGATTAGTACGAAAAGTTGTTCACTGGGAGGCATTTGTGGCGCTGCATCAGAATTAACACACTGGGTCATTGTGGCCTCACCAATACGTCACGCAATTTCTTATGGTTTAAGTAATGTTGAGCCGTGTTATATTGAGTTCACAATAAACCACCACAGGCAGTCAGTATTAAATGGAAATTCATGCAACCAATGTAGATGACTGAAACTGAAGCTTTTTTTACGATAAAACTTTTATCTTGACGCTACTTTGTCTCATGGCAGCGTTCTGCTGCGATGCAAAACTTAATAATAGGAAGTCAACGTACGTCAGTTTATGATAACCAGCTTTATTAGTTTAATTCAATGCAGTGTTTCGCTTCGGTGTCTTTCAGTAAAAAATTTCAAAGATAATTGCAGTAATCATACAAGGCAGAATAAAGTGGTGGAAAGTTTTCAGAAACAATAGGCTTATTTTAGGCAAAGCCTTCACTTAAGCAAATTAGTAAAATTGCAAGGCAAAATGAACAAGACATAGCAGTTAAAATTTTCTAACACATTGAGTTAGATTGTTCTATGCTTCTGACAAATTAGTTGTTCCCTGTCAAAACAGAGAGGTATTCAAACACTGTGTTGGGTTTCACCGCTTATTTACTCTGTATTTTCGAAAACAAAGGCATTCGACTTTTTTACTGAACCCAGGTTGAAGGATGTTAGAGGGTAGGGCTAAGTCGATCAGTGGCTGAAATATTTAGGAGCATCATAATTTTTTATCCAAGACGGGCAGTTACGCGCGCATTGACAAACCAACAGTGTCGTTATGTTTTCTTTCAGTTTATTACACTCCACGTGCATTATAAGGGCACCAAGATTGTAACAGGGTGTGATATGTTTACGAGATTTATTTGTGAATACTGACCTACTTCGCTTAGTAAACAAATCGAAAGCACAGAAAGGGTAAGAAAAGCTCGTGGAATAACGAGGTTTGTTAATGAATACACATCAGCGTAATTTTATAGCCAGCAATAAACAACATCGTCATTCACCCAACGCTAGGCGTACGATTCATAAGCACGTGAGCGAGGGGGCAGGAGGGAGGCAGAGGGGGCGCCAAGTCTGCTCCCTCCCTTCACTCAACATTATTTGTCCCGCGATCTTTTAAATGTGCAAGGCTATGAGCAAGTTGGTTTTTCACAATATTAGCGGCCGTGTGCTGACGATGCTGTTTGCTCTTCATCCTCACCTTTGAAAGTTAGTGACCGAAGACATAGTGCTGTGGGCAGCTCGTCATTTCTTCATTTCGAATTTATCCACATCAAAGATTATTTTCGAAATAGACACACCGTGGGAGGAAGGGTGGTGGTGTGTTTAGGCTGCCTTCATCCACTCGCAAACGCCCATGGTGAAAGCTATGTCTATCAGACGCGAGAAATGTGAAAAGAAGGCTTACTGTCATTCATAGTAAAGGTAGGTTTCGTAGGGGAGCAAGAAACGCATTTGAACAATGAAAGGACGAGTGAGGTAAAGCTGATACACCGGAACACTAACGCGATAGAGTTGCAAAGGTTGAAAAAAGGTGAGGGAAAGAATCCAAGCAAGCAAGATGACAACGTGGTGACGATGAAAGAAAACTGTTAAGATGGGCAGTCATTGTATTAGCAACGATTTCAGAACATTATTATTTGACAATTATTCTGGCAGTACGACTGTCTAATTCAGAAAAAAACAGTCTTGAAATATAATACCCAGTGAAAAAAAGCAGATGAAAGAGAGCCAAGATGACACGAGTCTTAAAAAAAACCACGTCAGAGATTCGCGCTCGCATGTATATTTTTCGTTAATAACATATGTACTTCGTTCAACATGTGACTTCAATGACTACGCTGCGCCCTGTCTATCCCGTTTTAATGAATGTGTTCATCGATAAGTAATATTAGGTGGTGTAGAGTACCGTACTTCCACGGAAGCGTTCATGCTGCCCGTGCAAAGAGGACGCTGTTAATTATAGTATCAAGGGCTGAAAGCAAGTCAAAACGAATGCATGAGAGCAAGAATTTTAGTATTTTGTTTGTAGAGCAAAGGTCTCGTGCTGTGACTTCTGCTTCTTTTGTTGCATGGTTTCCAAACGTCTCTAGCGATATCGTCAATTTTAATGAATGATAAAAAAGTGCCTCCACTTGGCAGCAAGCATAATTGGTGCAACCATAAATTCTCTGCGTAAGCTATCCGTCGTCTAATGTAACAACATATGCATACTTCAATTCTCGCGGCAACAACATAATGCCAACTGCCGTTTTAATGAACGAGTGCAAACGATTGCAACAGAGAGGTAATGTATGAACTATTAAGAAGATATTTTGGTAACAAATAACTGGTGGTCAAAATAGCCTTGGTGTGGCGCATCAGTACACATCTGACGACGTCGCATAGTTTCTACAGCACGGTTCAGCCAGTATAATAAGTATAGGTCAAATTGTATGGGTAAATACTATGCTCCGTGGAGTGTATAGCGAGTATAAGACTAAAGACGGTAACATGGTGAAGTGCTGTCAGAGGTATGTGCCCAACATTGTGAGTGGTCATGCACGCCGCTGACTTCATAGTGAATGTTCTGTTTTTTTTTTTTTGGTTGGAGTTTTCATTGGAACGATCCTTGGATTTCGCAGTTTTTACTGCGGGCCCCTGTCATCATGTACACAATGATGATGAAATAAACGTATTATTATTATTATTATTATTATTATTATTATTATTATCATACACATCTTAATCTGAATCAACGATTAGAGATCAATAATTTGTCGGCGCTACGTCAACAACCGCCGAGCATACTCCTTCGATGCCTCTTTTTGCAGGAGTGCAACTGCTGCCGCGAGACATACATGAACCGACGCGAGATTCAGCTGCAAGATTGCTTTGACCCCAATGGACAGAAGCTCTATGGAGCCTGACGGCAGCATGACTATATTTCTTGAAGAGCCCCAAGACTGTTCCTGTCACAAATGCGGAGGTTGATGCAAGAAAAGCGTGGTTTCCCGAAGCGCACTTCAAATGATCGAATAACGCGCGATATAGTGCTTAACGCAGTCACTGTTAGCACAAGCTTGCTACGTGCTTAGTGTCACATACTGATGCTAGCCGCCCTGATTGCAATGACATGATAGAACGAATATGATCACTTTTTATTGATTCAAAAAAGTGATGCTCATCGCAATGTAGTGGTTTTTATTTAGCTCAAGATATCTTTCATTGATGTTCAGTGACTTCTCAACTTGACATAATCCATGTAGCTTGCCAGTAAAAGTAAGAAAGAAACATCCAGACTCGCATCACCTACGTCTCGATATAATATGCTCAGTACCACTGCACATTAAAAATTGCTTACGGTGCAATGAGCCTCAAATATTGCCAGACAGTCCACCTGATTTCAAGTGTCTAGTTGTCAGCAGCATGCTACCGTGATGTACTTTCATTTGTCAATGCGCGAAAAATAAACTTGTGATCTTTGAAATGATCTGTAGAGTTGTCCACAATCTCCCTGTGTACGTGCGATTAGGCTTAGGATCGCCTTGTCATCACACGGACGCTTTTGATGCCGTGCGGAGGAGGCCACGCGAAAGCCAACAGAAAAACAAGAAAAGAAAGTTGTGTGTGCTGATGACAACAAGGTAGCACGCGAAGCGTCTAACATCGAGAGTATGCGATGATAGCCACTAATTCGCTGCATCTCCTCGTCCAGTTCCACGGGTGTCTGTTACAACGCTTACGCGCTGCCGTGTCTGAACAGACATCGGGTGCCCTGTGAGAAGTGAAACGCTCGCGTTTTGTCAATGACCGTAGCTAGAAAAATAAACGTAATCTATTCATGGCTGTAAGCGATAATTCGTGTGCTATCTTTCCAAGTACAAGTAAACAACACTCCAGGTGCACCACATTCATGAAACTACGCAAAACAATGATGCATGAAGTGTTTGACGGTGTGCCACCAATGTCTTCCACTGTTTACGGCGAGCAGATAACTTACACTTTAATGATGCTGTGCTGCTGCACTCCGGCATATTCCAGATTATAGTGGTGACCCTAAGACTGGATTGTAAAGCTAGACGCATGTTCCTTTCTTTAGAATAATCTTATTACAAAAACCAGGAGCTGTTGCTATGACTGCAGAAGTATTCAGCAGAATTATACAAGAGCAGTGATAAAATGGTATTGTGAGAGCTATGTCGCATGTTCCATGCATTACGGTATTTTGATAAAACCATAATGCGATAACAATCTTACGCTTACGCTAAGATGTGTGACCATGTAATAAAACGAGAGAAATTCACCGGGTGGGGTTTCCGTGCTATAGTGCTTCTCAGGAAACACGGGGCAGTTATTTAGTTCTGCGGTGTTTGCGTGAGCTAACATAAAATGAGTTTTAGCATGACGTAACATCACCACACGTGCAAAACAAACAGAAAAATAGAGAGATGGTTTTAGCGCGACCCTCATTTTGTCTTCGCGAAATCCTGAAATCAAAGTGAGCTAGGTGACGATAAAGACGACCCTCTGGCGTAGCAGACGTCCATGGAAAGCTTCTGCAAAGCAGCTTTGAATACTTGGAGAGTATAAAAAAAAGGAGCACGCGTTTGATGGAAGTGACAGTACAGTGTCTAGAAATATACTGCCTAGTGTGCTGAGCGCGCGCATTTTGTACGGGAGAAGGTGGCCCCGCATGTGATGACTGCACTCAGATGCCACAGGCGGCGCTGCGTGTCAAGAGGGTGCATGATTGCACGAAATTCCTGTCGTCCTGTTGCTGCCGGAGCCTCGCAACGCTTAAAATCAGTGTGTGATAGCTGCCATCTTATTTACTATGACGTTCGATGGCGCCGTATGTACACTGCAACACCCTGAGATGTTAAAAGCTAAGCGGCAATGCAAAGAAAAGACGTGTATTGTGCCACTGTGTCAAAAAAGTTATCTGTCACACAAGAAAAAGGTTCCTTGTTCCCCGCACTAACAAATCCAGCACGGTTTCCTGAATGAAAAAGTAGGATCAAAAGGCAAACAGAAGGCATACTCCGAAGGCTATCGTGTGAGAAAAGCATTCTGAGAGTGACTCCATCGAACTATCTTTTCGGACTAGGGTGCACGGTGTCGGGAACGAAATCGCCGTTTAAGCATTATTCAAAATATTAATGTTTATTTTAAAAAAATGAAAAGCACCTTTTCGAATTTCATTCACACACTTTATCTCCCTTTTCAACGTCGGACTCTCTTTCCAATGACGTTTTGAGTATCATATGCGGCGAGTGTCAGATTGTTTATTTACATGTTATCATTCTTTGTTTTCACTTGAATCCTAATGAAATGCAGGCTAAGATGCAAAAGTTTTTGGGTCTTCTGTCAAAATTCTTGCTCTCAAGAACCAAGCACATTTTAAAAACAACTCTTGTGTTTATATTGTGCATGGTATTTAAAATTATTTCTCATGTGTACTGCAACCACTTTGAGCACCTATCTACCTATCTATATGTTTATCTATCTATCTATCTACCTATCTATCTATCTATATATCTATCTATCTATCAAATCGCCCACGTTTGGGTGCCCTCACAATCACCCCCACCCCCTTAACGTAAGGTAAACCAAAATTAGTGTGGGTGGGTAAGATGGTTTGATGATTATGACTAGCTAGTCCTGACATGAACAATTTCACAATCCCGTCACGTACGCTACAAAACCCTTCTCGCCACATCTTTTTAAAGCGTGAGCGTTAAGGTGGCATTGACAACGTTGGCCCTACAAATGCAAATAATAAACGTTTGTGTCCTAGCAGAGGTATCGAAGCCAAGCAATCTGTGTGGAAACCAAGTATTCTACTACAGAGCCACACCAAGTCTTCGAAATACTTTGTAAGAAGAGCCAAATGTTTGTGAAACGCCGATGATGGTTCTATTGTTTACTATCCGATTTCTCGCATATATTTAGCGTGACTTCGTAATGTTTCACCTAATAAAAATTTACTACAGAGTCACCTTGCATAGCATTGGTTTCTAAGTTACGTGGGATCTGCCTCTTTTTTTTTTTTGCGGGCAGTAGCGGATGGCGAAACGTATGCCACAAAATCACCTTCATTTGCTATTTAAAAGCGCTAGTACAGTGAAAGCAATCGAGTAGTTCTTATACAATAAAGCATTATGTAAAAAACACTCCGAAAATGCTGGAAAATTGTTGGCCTTGCGCGTCTCGGCCTCCTGAAAGCTTCCCAGCGCTTGCGGGCGCAAGGATTGAACGCAAATGCACCTACTCGCACAGCAGCGCACCATGCGGGCGTTGGCGGCAGTCATCAGCTGCGGGGCCATCTCTTAGCCCGCGGTCAGTACACTAGGCAGTTTATTTCTAGGCACTGTAGTGACAGCCAGACACAAAACAAGATAATGTGCCTGTCCATTTCTGTCGTGCCGTGTTTGCGCACTTTTTTCGTGATTGTTCGTGATTCCTGGTCTGTACTTCTTAGGCTTGTCACAAGTGATGATGTCGAGTTAAGTTCAGGCCCGAGCTCGACTTCAGATGACAAACTTGAGCAGATTTTACAAACTTTGAAAGAGCACTTGAAGACGTCAGCTGATATGGAACGAGACGACAGATCAGTCCAAAAGGAAGTAAAAGAAAATAGCACTGCCATACAAAATATCGAAGACCGCCTAGCTAAACTCGACACCGATTGATTGATTGATTGATATGTGTGGTTTGACGTCCCAAAACCACCATATGATTATGAGAGACGCCGTAGTGGAGGGCTCCGGAAAGTTTGACCACCTGGGGTTCTTTAACGTGCACGCAAATCTGAGCACACGGGCCTACATCACTTCCGCCTCCATTGGAAATGCAGCCGCCGCAGCCAGGAGTCGAACCCGGAATCTGCGGGTCAGCAGCCGAGTACCTTAGCCACTAGACCACCGCGGCGGGGCTAAACTCGACTTCCTCTCTTTCTAAAATTGATGACGCACACTATAGAGCAACCAAAATAAACGAGGTTTTTGCGGCACTATCTGGAATGGTTAACAAAATGGAAAATCAGCAGCGCATCAATATTCTTCGTATTTTAGGCCTGCATGAGCAAGATAAGGAAACGCAAGAAGACCTGGCCAAAGTGGTACGTGACAACGTTTTTTCAGTAATCGTTTTTTTTTTTTGCCTAACAGCGTAGAGCGCATGCACCGAAATGGAAAAAGACAGTCGAGGGCGCGACTGGTTATTCCTCAATTATACGACTTCGAAAAAACTGCAAATTATGTGAAACTACAAATTTAAAGGCATACGCGTCTCAATCAGTGATGACTTTTCAAAGCACGTACTAGGTCGTAGAAAGAGCTATAGAGAAAGCGCCAGAGAAGACGAGTGGAATGTGGGTCCACCTGGTTTACGATAAGCTTTACGAAATATTTCGAATGATTGACGAGCCCACAAGCGCTCTAGGTTGCTGATTGGTTAAAAAAACGGTGGCCTGTGCTGTCATCACACGATCCGGTCGCTGGTCGTGAAACATGGCGCTCGGCTGAAACGACAAAGTGAGTGGCAAGACCTAGTCAACAGCCGCGTAAAAGAAGCTTATTTGGACTTTATTGCAATTAGCACTAGACTGAATGAGCATCGGCGGATATATTCATCTAAAGGCAGTAAGCCGGCGCAACCTTCCAGCCCTCCTCACTGGCTGCGATCGCCGAAGGAACCTGGCGGAAAGTTGTGTTTACGCGAAGTTCGGAGACCACTGATTTCGTGTGTTTCGTGCCATCGTTCGCTTCGATTTGGGAACCGGAACGTCAACATCTGCAGGTGTCATCTTCGGATGACACATACTTATCGCCAAACGTGTTCGATCGCTGCAAACAGCATTTGTGATTTGTATGCGTTCCGTGTTCGTGGTTCATTCGCGAGAAGTACTGGGTGATGACACAATCTGAGGTGATAAACTTTATTGCCGTTATTCGACATGTTCTGCGACGTGTACGCTGCGTTGCCGCTGGGAATATACTGTGGTGACCGTGTCGCATCCGAACGGCTTGATCGTAACCACAGTTGATGAAGTTTGCTCAGGAGATACCGGTCGGGGTATGAGCCTGCGGGGTATGAGTTATTTGCGGCGTGTGTGTGCTCTGAATCGTGCCGTACATGGGTGCTGTCACTGCAGCTTTAATGTTTATCTGGCATCTCGACACAAAAATTTCATGAAACTTTAATTTGCTGTCTAGGCCACATATGGGTTGTTTCAAGTTCTTTCTGCACTTTGCACGCTTTGCTATCATACAGTGTATTAGATATGTGCAAGATTGTTGGAGTCATAAATGACAACTTCAGGTAGCTTTTATGTCTAGCGCGTGAAAATAATACGCACAGAAAATTTCTAATAAGGGAATTTGTGAGGCGAAGCACTTGTCGATGGTCTTCAACCACAGAGAAGGCTTATGAATAGCCAAGTGAAAAAAAAAATCGGTGCAGTTCCTTAGGAATTTTTATGGTATA